TCTTTACTCTTAATCCGAGTTTAGATCGTCACTACACATACAGTGTTTTCAGTATTTTGTTCATAAATCTTCACACATTATATAATTAACGTAGCTTAATTATATGTATATATACGATATTAATATTTTTCATATTACTACGCGTTTTTTTATTATTTTAAACTACATACTCCCGACGTTTCGGTTACTTTGCAACCACTTTACTTTGATCACGGGCAGACGAGATGTGGATATAAGCATTCCAATACCGTAAAAATTCCAGTGCTTAGATTAAATGCAATTACTGCCTTACATATAACTATATGATTTCATGAATTAATATTTTCACATATATCGTTAAATAAAATATCAATGTATATTTATTCAATATTATAATACAGTTTCAGAAAGCTATTTTTGTAACACATGCCAAATTTCTTAACGGTTTTATATAAGTTAAAAAAAAATTAACTGCTCCCTATTCCATATCATCAGCCTATCAGAGCCCACTGCTGCTCAAAGGCCTCTTCTCACATGGAGAAGTGTTTGAGCATTAATCACCACGCTTGCTCAAGACGAGTTGGTGATTTGAAACTTGTAATTGTGAAATTATAAGTCTAGGTTTTCCTAGTGATGTTTTCCTTCACCGTCTGTCTGTGGTGTCTTAATACTCTTAGAACGTACAATATAACGGAGAAAAATCACATTGGTACTTACTAGGTTTAGAATCCGCGTCCACATACACGAGAGGCGGGCCTTTAACCACTAAGCCACCACGACCAGTTGTATATATTGTTTTATTATTTCTTTTTCCTTTTAACCAATTAATTATTGTTTGTTATAAAAACTAAGTGAAATATAACAAACAACACAACTAAAGTACTTTGTCAATTATCGGAGTGATTCTTATCGATTTTCATCTCGGCATTGTTTATTCCTTTCCAGTTACTTTTCAGCGAGATATAATATTTTTGTTATTTAACAAAAACTTTGTTGATTTTAAACAATGATCGTTGTTTCCATTGTAATAAAAAAAACTTGCGATTATCAACAACTTAATAAGACGCCAACGTTTTACTTTTTTATTAATATTATTATATAAAAAGCGTCAGAATTTTCGTAACGCAATATAAATAGTTTTATCAATCATTTAAATAGTTTAATGTATAATCATTATTGTCAGTGGTGGCCTAATGGTTAGGGCCCGCCTCTCGTTGCCGAGGGCGCGGGTTCGATCCTGACCCGGGCAAGTACCAACGTGATTTTCCGAGTCATATGTACTTTCTAAGAGTATTTAGACACCACTGACAGACGGTGAAGGAAAACATCGTGAGGAAACCTGGACTTATAATTTCACAATTATAAGTTTGAAATCGCCAACCAGTCTTGAGCAAGCGTGGTGATTAATGCTCAAACTGAAATAGCTCAGTAAGAACATTCCCAAAAATGGGTTGATGTCAGACCGGCGGCCGGTCGTAAAAAAAAACAATCAGCCGAAACCATCTATGTATAACATGTTCTGCGGAAGAGTTATTTTTTTTGGCAGACCCTGGCTAAAGCTGGGAAATTGCCAGGAAGAAGAAGAATATAGTAATCATTATGTTTGAAGAACTTTTATTGATAAATATTTAAATTGAAATTATCACTCGCTATCCATTTTAAAAGTGGACGTTAATGAATCATTTAATAAGAAACTCCGTAGAAACGAAGAAATTACATACACTATTATTACTCTGTACCAAAACGTTTAAAATGGTAAATAATCAAAATTGTAGTGTAATTTTATAAGAATTCAATAAAAGTAACTCTGTTAGACCTTATTAAACAATATTCTTCTCTGTCCGAAATGGGTTATTTAAGAAATTGAATTGATATCAAAATGTCTTAAGTCCAAAACTTAGGACATAGTTCTAGTAGAAGTTAGAATAGTATTAATTTATTACTATGTTACAACTATAATTTCATATATTTAATAAACTTTATAAATTTTCCTTATTTACTAGATAGGGTTGCATCTTAGAACACTTATCCCGATTCTAATTTCATTTTAATCATACATTTATTTATATAATCCACTTATAATCTATTGCAATAAATAAAATAAGATAAAATATTTTAAGAGTATAAAAAAACTTAATTAAAATATGCAAGCATTGAATGCAAGTAAATCATGCTATTTAACTTTACTCACTAATATCAAGAAGTACATTTCTGTTCAGAGAATAAGTTAATATTTCTAAGGAAATAATTGTGAACATTAAAAAATATCTTTTACAGCCTTGTCATAGAGACTTTGTCATTGATAATTAATTAATGAGTGAAATCCTCAGTCAGTGGTGGCCCAGTGGTTAAAAGGCCCGCCTCTCTCATGCACGAGGGAGCGGGTTCGATCCTGGCAAGTACCAATGTGATTTTTCCGAATCATATGTACTTTCTAAGAGTATTTAGACATCACTGATTAATGTTGTTTCCCAAAAGAGAGTTGACGTCAGGCAGGCGGCCGGTCGTAAAAACAAATAGCCAAAACTATACACAACATGTTAGGCAGACCCTGGCTATAGCTGGGAAATTGCCAGGTAGAAGAAGAATGAGTGAAATCCTCTTTGTTACTATCCCCAATGATTTCTTGTCAAATGCCACTTAAATTAGATCCTAATTAATCTTCTGAAAATATGACTATTTATTTATACATATACCAGATTAATCCCAGAGGAATTCCCACTCTCAATCACGAAAATTAACAGTATTATGACGTGTCAGAACGATAATTACTTAAACGCCATGTCATAAAAAATTTAACGCACTCTTTGTATAAAATCCTAACTTTTTATATATTCTAAACTGAAGATGGTAACGTTATTTTAAACTGAACTATATTGAGATTTATTAAATACAATATAATTATTTTATAAAAATAACATACACATGATTTTATATATATACAGGGTGACTGGTGAATTACTATCGATATTTGAGGACGTGATATTTAACGATCATATATGACAAAATAAAAATTAATATAACATAAATATTAATAAACTTCTAAGTAAAGTTAACCAAAAGTTATGTAATTAATTACGCATCGTGTGAACACCCTACAGATTAGGTATACACACACACACACTCGCGCGCGGCGGCGTGGTGTTGTATCAGCATGCCGCCGCACGCGTCCACACTTGGAACACTTGGAACGTGTACACACTTTATTTATTTATACGGAAATTTGGTCAAAAATTAAGTACCTATTTTTTTACATAATTCGAATGAGAATCATTTGTACCGAGTATGCTCCTTAAATATTGATAGTAATTCACCAGTCACCCTGTATATATGTATATATATATATATATATATATATATATATATATATATATATATATATATATATATAGTGTAAAGAATATTTCATTTAAAATGGAATGGATTTTGTGTGGGTGTATACAGAGTGTAAAATCCATATTTATTGGCGAACTTTCGAGATAGTTTTATTACAACGAATAATTTATACACCACGTATAATGTTTTTGAAACAAAATTTGCAAAGCAGGACCAAAAATTACGTTCGTAAAAATCATTACTTGAAGACAAGTTTAATTAAAACGATCTCATTTGTACCATCCCTATGATAAATACATATAGATACTAAAAAGAAATATAAATTCTAAAGAACTGTTTGAGAATATTCTGAAATATTTTATTTGTATTAAAAAATCTAATTAAAATTAAAGAAATGACAATAGAGTTCTTAGCATTACCTTACATTGGCTATACGCATAATATTTTTAATCTACTATTATTTATTATCTGTAACTATGCTGAATAAAATTTAGCGCGACAACTTTTATAATCTGTGAGAATCACTAATGTAGAAATATTAATTATAATATTTCTATGTAAATAATTTTATTAATTATAAAATTAAATCTTGTTTCAAAATATATTTGAAAGGTTTCAATTTAAAACCAAAGGCCTCATTCCGTTCAGCCGTGTTATTTCGAGGCCAATGAATACGTCATACTTTAAAGGTTGGACAAGTGTTGAGAGCTTTCTGGAAACTGTCAACTGTTTAAATATAAACAAGAAATAGAAATATTAATAGCAATTTATAACCAATAAAAAAAATATGATTTATTTTTTAATAATTCGATCTATTAAAGGTGTTAAATTTCATCAATTCTTCATTGAGCAGCCTAATTAGCCTAAACTTTTTTTTCAGTAATCTGTAATTACCTATTATTACAAACGCAGGCAATAATTTCAAATATACAGTCACTGATAAGAAATTCAATAAATTCTCAACACAATATGTACATAATTAATTTCTTAATTGGCGTAGAACGTGTACTATTTTTATAAGTTATCGACTTCTTAGTTTATTTTTTTCATTACAAAATGAACAACACGAGTTATGACATACTAAAAAATTTCGAAATCAAGATAAAATATTAAAAATTTGACAATTTTAAGGCGTTTGCTTCAACGGACATATTGACGTAATATTTTTCATGCACAGATCATTGTCAAAATCAAATGACATTTACCAAAGTTGCAAGTTATAAAAAATACACATTTTTAATATGTCAAATGCTAAAAATAATTTCAAATACTTCTGTAGAAATGTTATATATAAGTTTTCACTATCTTCGTTGTTATGAAGAACTGTCGAAGTTCAGCGAAATTTTCTACATAAATTGCGAATTTTCTCGAGAAAAAGAAAGTTTGCTTTGATTGTACATAGTTTGTTAGGAATTTGTCGTTCAACAATGGCCCTTAACTTTCACAACTATAAGTCTACTAACTCTCAAGTAACATAATTTTTATCACAAATCACAGTTTTTCTCATATATACACATATAACAATTTAATATCTTGTTACAGATTAAACTATGAAGACGCAATCACAGACTCAATAAAATTTAATTAAATATACGAGCAGACAATAAATAAAGCCAAATTAATTATTAAATGTAGTTATACTATATATAATTGGAGGGAAAAAATCGATATATCTGAACGCAAAAATGTCAAGCGACTCCCCAACGTCGGCGAAGATTTTGAATTTAGAACGCGCCTCGAATTTCATGAGACAATTCCGCGATCCTGATTCGAGGGAACTGAAGAAGCTCTCCGCCAACCAGTTCATGGAAGTCTGGAGCCATTATGACAGGGACGGTGAGTACATTAATACATTCTATTCCATTTTCAAATTTGATTTTTTTTTTATTTTATATTAGAACATTGTATTACATATTATGTTCTATTTTTAAATTTGTATTTGACGTTTATCATATTGAGATTTTTTATAATAATGACTTGTACATTTTGGGTATGATAATATGCTTTGCTTTTTTTAAAATTCTAATATAATAACAGCCCTATTTTCAAAATAAATCTCACGTTAAATTTCGAATCCCCAGCTTGAAAACAAGCTTAAAATTTATGTCAAATATAATATGTTTTTGCAAAAATTCAACATTTACATTTGGAGCAAACACGATAGTGCTTGACCCAAAACACTCGGACATGATTTTGAAAATGAATCACTTGAATAATGATGTCGCATCTTTAAAAACGGAATATGTTTACTTCAATAAAATATAAAAAAAGATTCTTTTTTATATGGTTCGAATGTATTGCCATAAATATAATTTAAAAAATAACACACGGTAATTAATCGTTAGTAGAAAAAAGAGTCAGTCTATAATTTGGTAGTAAAATAATTTATTAAAGTTTTTTTGTCTGGAATGTAATTAATATAAATTATTAATTGTTTGATTATTGATATTGGCAGAATATTGTGGACATTTCCATGGTCGTGGAATGTATATAACTATATAAAAAAAGTTATTGCTCTGATATCGCAGACGTCAAAATCAGCTGATACTGCAATCATACCCGCCCGTCACAGAAAATAATCCGTCTAGCCCACTTTTACTAAATAAATCCAGCCTTAAAATATATATTTTTATCATATTCAACCTCTTTTTTCCGCCAATTGTCAGTCTGTCAGATTTGACAGATGGTAAGCTAAACTAAATTTGAACTACTGATATCTGGTATTTATAGCGTGATTATAAAAAGTTAAATACTAAGTTAACTGCAAATAAAGGAAAATCTTTCACAATATCTATTTCGGGTAAAAGAAGACTTTTCAGTACAAAAATCCCTACTAATATTATAAATGCGAAAGTAACTCTGTCTGTCTGTCTGTCTGTCTGTCTGTCTGTCTGTCTGCTACGCTTTCACGCCTAAACCACTGAACTGATTTTAATGAAATTCGGTACAGAGATAGAGTTGACCTTGAGAAAGAACATAGGATGGTTTTTATCCCAGACTTTTGAAAGGTTCTCTTGGAAACGCGATATAACCGAACTCCACGCGGCGAAGCTGCGGGCGGAAAGCTAGTACATAATAAACCTCAAAGTTTATTTATAAATGGTTGTCGCAATTTCTAAATGGTATAAATGACTGTCTCTCAGTTTATCTTTCAATTAACAACTTCCTTTACTTCCATTACTAAGAGACGAAACCTCAATTCAATGTATTCACGGTACGTGTGTCTGGTCCATCGTTGTAGAGAGGAGCTTCAACAGTGACTGTGACTTGCGACCCAGGTGTAGGTTTAAGGGACCTCCTATCTAATGCGTTAAACGCTCACCTCCACCGTCCAAGCTCCTCTCTCTACCTAACCAATTTTGAAAAGAAGCTACTAATGGCTTTGTCAGCGTTACCTAGAGAGCATCTTTTTCCACGAGGACATCGTCAATGCACATCATACATACAGGACTTTTAATCCTCATTATAGATACAGTCGACAGTGAATGAAGCGTTCATTAATAAGTCAGAACCTTGGCAATGGTTTCAAATACGTAGCGTGACGTTACTATGTATATCACAGATCGATATGTACATAGCCTTAGTAGTTACAACGAGTGTGTTTAAACGAAATACTATCAGTTTTCCGTTCTTCATAATTTTTTTTCTGGCAACCGAGCAGAGGTCTACCTGATGGAGGTAGTACCGTCCCCTACGGACATCCAAAAAATATTAGGGATTAGGGAAAAGGGGGGAGAAAAATGGGAAAAGGGAGGGATACGTCCCTAATATGTGCGAAGTGGTAGGAATGAATAAATGAATCTAAAATGAATCTTATTATTATCATTGGATATTTTAATTATATTGTCTATTTCAATATATTGAATCATATATTTTATATAATATGTTATATATTGAATCATATATTTTAATATATAAGAAGTCTTAATAATCTCTCCTCTATAGTTTATTTTATCAGTTAGAGTGAAAATAATTAATTATCTGTGGATTATAAGATCTATATGAATAAATAAAAAATAATGGTGGTGATATTTATTTTAAAATGGTAGATATATGACTTAATTTTGTTCATGGAGTCCTTTAAGATAGTTTCCAAGTTTTCTTATAGATAATAATTTTATAGCCTGATGAAGTAAATGTTGAAACAAAGATTTGGCTAATTGTTTTTACGACCGGCCGCCTACCTGACATCAACCCTCTTTGTGAATGCATTAATCAGTGATGTCTCAATACTCTTAGAAAGTACATATGACTCGGAAAAATTACATTTATACTTGCCCGGGCCAGGATCGAATCGGCGCCCTTGGGCATGAGACACGGGCCTTTTAACTACTAGGCCACCACTGACTAAAAAATATCTTTTATATTAGATTTAATTAGCTATACAAAGCTCTATTATAACTATTGGTTTATATTAATTAAAATTTTCGTTTTCTTTTATATTTAAATCGTAATTTCGTATACTTTTTTGTACAAACACTTACCTGATGTATTGCGTAGTCTTAAATCACAATTAGGAAGACGTACAAGCGTACAACGATTTGTATCTATTACGGAAAACTTCGCTATATACTCTTTTATTATCTGTAAATCTAACAGTTCAATAAATCTCAATAACAATGGATTCTCATAAAAAATATTATACCAATTTCTATTATATACTATAGCCAGTGGCGGCTGGTGGGTTATCGAACTGGTGGTTCACTTTACTAAAATATTGACAAAAACAACAATTGACATAAAATATGTTTATTTTTTGTACATTAAATCAATGCGACGACATTTTTCTGTAGCGAAATTTTCTATCACCTTTTTATTAAAATCTGATTACAGTTTCTGTCCAAATCGATTCTCCGCCAAAAATAATGCAAGGAAAACAAAAGAATGTATTAAGACTTTCACATCCACACAACCATTTCTTTCTATTATACATTTCACTTTTAAAACTTCGTATAAATGCTTTATTTTTCGATTTACACTCTTGTTTTAAATTTAAAAAGGGCCGTGGCGGCCCGGCCAATTTTATGTTCACTTTACTTTGAAAAATTTTGTTATTTTCTTTAATATAATCAATATTTATACTCATTTTCAACTAATAAAAAACACAGTACAGAATAAAAGTTCTATTATAGAAACGAATTAAAAACTAAAACGAATTACGGAAATAATTATAAACAATAAAGAATTAACGCGTCACGCATACAGTGAAAGTTGAAACAATACCAATAACGATTAACGAAATGTCAATCATAGCACCCATCCTTTCGGCCGGCCCCTTGCCGGCCGGCTCAATACGTCATACATCGGGTGCTCTCGGTAACCTTCGGCCGCTTCGTGCGGCGCTCGAGGACCGACTCGTTACTCGGTACATTTCTATGAACGATCTTTTGTCTCACCCGCCAGGCGTATTGATGCGTGTCTCATACAAGATGTATTAGCAGTCCTCGTGCACTCGCCGGAGCGCACGATATGAGTTTAGTAAAGCGCTCAAACTTTTTGACCATAATTGGAAATTAAATTTTTTATACCTTTTTGTATGTTTAAAAAATAAATATTAAAATGGTAATTTAAAAATTAAGATGACATAATATTTTGTAATTTTTAAATACAATTTTGAATTGGTGGTTCAGCGCACGGGCGCACTTAAGGTACAGCCGCCACTGACTATAGCTATCTATGGAAAGACTTTCAAAATTAATTCAGCTGAAATCAATGTTTAATTAATCTATATTATTATGTCATCCATCTTGTCTCGTGTGTGACAGCTGTCACTTTGACAGCGGACCGTTTAATAGTTTATAGAGGGTAAAGGTATTAATACACAAATACTAACATATTATGTTGTGAACATAATAATAAGGATATCTTTAATTAAATTAATAAACCTGGGAATGTTTTCATTAAATAGGCTCAATTTAATTAATTTATTCGTAATAATATATATTTTTTATGTTAAATATCATTTTATTTTGTAGTCGAAAAAGATACTCTAAGAAATAATTTAGGTAGTACTTCCACTTTGAAGTTTATAGATCCGCAACTTGCAACAGAATCCCCAGTGTAGCACTTGCATCCTGTTTGTAATCTTCAAAGGTAACATTTAGGTGACTATTAACTATTTAACTAGTTAACTATCATAAGAATTCCCAATTAATATCAGAATATAAATAACATTACACTTAGAAATATAGAGTGCATCACAATTTAAATTATTATAAATAATTATTACTAACAATACCTACAAAACAACTTAATTTTAGCTGCTGTCAACGAAGCTACGTTAATATAATCATGTGCGGAGATTTAGGAATGACTTACTTACTTACGTTTTAATTTACGATAGAAACTTTGAGTAAGCTTAATAGAGACTTATATGAGAATGTGAGTAGGTAAATAAAATTTAAAATGTCTCTTAGTGAAAGAAATTATTTATATAACATGTTTTATTATAGAGAGCAAGATTGGTTTTAAATATTGCTTTTTTTCTGATAATTTGATTGGTTATATTTTAGTATATTCATACACTCATAAAATCACTATTTCGTATCTAAATAGTATATTTATTTCTAATCATTCCTTTTGTGTTAAATCATTTATAAAAATATTGTTTTGAAACAATTCTAAACACGCAACCGTAATCACATGAAATATTAAACAACTTTAAGCCTTTTATTATAATTATCACAATGGGCAGGAAAGAAATTAAATAGAAATTACTAAATTTTAATATATATGGAGAGAGAGAACAAATATGTATATGTATATACAGGGTGACTGGTGAATTACTATCGATACTTGAGGACGTGATATTTGACGATCATATATGACAAAATAAA